CCCCCCCCCCAACAAACAGACCCTCCCATTGCCTCCCTCCCCAACAGACCCCCTCCACCACCGACCACCCAACATTTAAACACCCTCTTTCCTGTGCAACTACTTACAAGTGAAGTGCTGTGGTTGTATGCGTGCCCTCCTGATGTGGGTGGCCATGGGGTGGGGGCACCTAAGGGACAGAGCCTGGGGACAGATAGCTAGCACCCAGCCTTTATCTGTTCCCCTGTGGGTGTACACATTGTGGCAAGCCCTGCATGTAGGGGGCTCTCCCAGAGGCAACGGTGGCAGCTGGTCCCCCGGCACAGAGAGCTCCCCTTCTGGTAGCCAGTATTGAGGGCCAGCATGCAGTCCTGACCCCACTGCAGGCAGCTCCAGTTCTGCACCTGGGTGGAGCCAGAGTGAGCTACAGGCCTGGGACCAGGCAGGGGACCTGTGGTGGGGACCGAGGCACTGGCTGTGGGGATAGCACTGGACCTCTACCGAGGCCCAAGGGGGGGCCTGCTACTGGGCAGTGGGTGGCTGCCAGGGGGCAGGCAGGGCTAGGATCGGGGGCAGGGCAGCAGGCAGAACAAAGGTGACTGCCAGGGACAGGACAGTGTTCAGCACCTGGCAGTCATCCTCTGTGGCCTCCACTGCCCTGGCCATAACTGTGCTGTGCTCCCACAGGGCCTCCACTTGCTCATGCCCCAGGGCCAGGAGCTGTGGCCACAACCAGTTGTGCCTGCACTTCCACATCTGGCCTGACAGCTCCTTGTAGACATGGGTGTTGGAGCACCTGCCCTGCATGAACTGACACTGCACCTCCACCTCACCCCACAGTGCCAAAAGGTTACCAGTCTCCTCCTGCGGCCAGTTGGGGCCCCAGCTGGTGGGGTGTGGCATCGGCAATGATGACACCATCAGGGCTCCTGCGCCAGCTCTTCAGGCCTCCTTGCAGCTGTCCCTGTGCTTCTGGGCCTGGGCAGCTGCCTTCAGCATTCAGCACCCAGCACAGGGGTATGGTATAGGACTTGCAGCCATGCAGCAAGGCAATGTCCCACAGCACCTGCAGGCTCTGGGCAGGTTGGTGGGGGTAGGCTGTGAGCAGCTGGAGCTCAGCCTGGTAGCCAAGAGCTGCCTACAACTATGCCTGGGTGCTGACAGGCCTGGCAGGAGCCTGGAGCAGCCTATAGGACTGGGTGGCACAGGCCTGGCAGCCATGTGGCACTGCAGTGCCAGGCTGTGGCACTGGGATACAGGCAGGCTGGTGCAGCTGACCTGTGGCCTGCCTGGGGGGACACAGGGGCCTAGTTTGGCCTTAGGCTGCCTGCCTGTGTCCAAGGGCTCCGAGCGCCTGCAGGTTTTTAAGAGCCTGGGGATGGAGCTGGGACAGAGTTGAGCCATCCCTGGGGCAGGAGAGGCTCCCAGCCCTGGAGCCATGGGCCTAGTCCCAGGCAGGTACCCTAATGGTAGCACTGACCAGGAGCAAATTTGCTCCCAGTTGGCATCCACATGTGCATTATTGTAGAGTAATTACTTGCAAGTAAATGAGTGTTGTCATTTACTGAGCAGTAAGCATGTGCACATGTAGATGCGTACACTTACTGCAAAGCAAGCTACGCTGCTGCGCAGTAAAGTGTCTTATGTAGACACACCCCCTATTAATAAAATATCCTCCTGCTCCTAAAATCTTGTAAAATACAAATGGAAAGTATTATAAACTTATTTATTTGGCACAGTGTTTTATTAGTTGCCTTGGTTTATCATATTTTTTATATAATATGGATGCATCTACACATGAAATTAAGGAAACAAAAACTCTGGTGCTGTATGAGCCAGGTCAAACTGCTCCCAGGTGCAGCATCTACATGTGGACCCAGGGCAGCAGCAATTTGAGCCAAGGGAGAGCAGGCCCAGTCTTGCAGGGAGCACAGTGAGGGTCAACCCAGGGCTCCAGGTGGCAGCATCAGGTAGTGGAGGGATTGGCTGGGGCACAAGGGTGGTGAACCTGAGGTGCTACATGGCTAGGTGGCAGACAGGAGTTTAGCCTCCACCCAGTCATCATCTACATGTGTGTTTCAGCTCAGTTAATTACTCCACCGCAACTGTACTATCTTATAATGGAGTGAATTAGTATACTGCACCTTAATACTGGTGCACGTGTAGATGGGGATACTTTACTAAAGAGTTAATTAGTCTACTTCCCAGAAAACACATTTATAGATACACCCTGTTGTCACTTATGTACCAATATGCATATTTAAAGAAAATATCAGGTATATGCTTATGTTTATATTTTAAAATAGTTATCAGAAGAAAAATTAGTACAGAAACAGTTTCTGAAGTATTTTTATTTTATAAAGTACAATTTTGTTGAATGGAAGAAAAATTAAGCTTTTCCATCTTTTTTTATGCAAGCAAGCTACAATCTACCAGAAAACATCAATGGCTCTTTAATAAAGTAAATGAAATAAAAACTCAACTGAGATACATGGCATGTCTACATGAGTTGCCATGTTGCAGGAGTAACAAGCTACAGTGAAGCAGCTCATTGCTACGGTGATGTAGCATCAGTGGGCATGAACTATGATGCCACTGCTACTGCACAGTAGCTCATTGCTATTGCACAGTAGGAGCAGAAACGACTCGTGCAGCACCAGGACTGTGCAGTACCAGAGGTTAATGCGCAGTCATTTAGTAGTTGCTAAAGCAAGCACTAAATGACTGTGCAGTAACAACTGTACAGTAGGGCGCATGCTTAGACGCGCCCACAGAGATGTAAACATTGGCCCAGTCTGACTTCCTTTGGCTGAAACTGGAATAAGCCCTCAATGTTAGTAATGCACAAACTCATAATCAAAATGGCTCATTACTGGTATTTATTGGTATCCTAATTTTGCTTTTACACTGCACTGAAAAAAAAACGTAATCATTAACATTTTTATTCTTTCTCTTAACCCAGACAACCTATCCTATTTTCTCAGGTTTACCTTTTTAAACCAATGTCTTTCAAATATGCTCCCCTCTAATGTGACAATTAAAGTCATCAACAAGAATCTCACAGGAGCAGGACTGGGATTTACATCAGGGACTGAGAACATAAACCTGTTCTCAGGAGGCAAGAGGGAGAGTAGTTCTGTTTTAATTCCTGTATTTCATTTCTGATAAAGTTTGTTCCTCTTTTTTATTATGTTATCAATAACACTTAGGAGAATAGTGTTATTATATACATATTTATATAGGGCCTGATTATCATAAACGGTTTATGCAGAGCCACTTTAAGGGATCAGGACATAATACGCACCAAGCATGCTTAAAAAGAAACATACATTGCACTTTATTTTTATCAATACATTTGACTAAGATTCTGGATATTGAGAGAAATGTATACTGGCCTCAGTCTTAGTGCACATAGCTCCCACAGATTTCTGGGTGCATACTCAAGGTCAGAATCTGGCTCAGTATGCGTAAGCTTTTGTTTTTATTTTGTTAAACATACTCACTTAATGTAAGCTCTTTTCATTTCAGCACTACCAGCAAGTCAAATCTTAGATTCCAATCTCCCATTCTTTGTGAATATAAAATTCTAGCTCACAGCAGCAGAAGTTTTGAATTTCTAAGGAATTCAAGTTAATTTTCAAAAGTGCATATGTGTTTTAGAAGTATAAGTCCCATATTCAAAAGTGAAATAGCCCTTAGAAGCCTAATTTCTACTGGATTTCAGTAAGATCTGGGCTCCTAATAAATAGAACCTAACCTCCAGTCACGTATGGCACTTTTACATACCGGGGATGGGGGCCAGCATTTAAAATAGAGTGGCTCTGAGAGCCACTCTAATTAAAGCACCATCCCATCTCCTATATCAGCATCCCCATGCTTAAAAATGGCAGCAGGGGTGCTTGAACTAAAGTTTGTTTGACAAGCTTTAGTTCAAGCATGCCTGCCACCATTTTTAAGCATGAGGACGCTGATATACAAGACTCAGGAGGGTGCTGGAGCGTGGTAATTGCCAAGCTCCAGCAGACTCAATTAACCAAGTCTGCTCCAATGCGCTGGCATTCCAGCATGTTGGAGTAGCCTCCACATTCGTGTATCAGTGCCCATAGGTATTTTTTTAAATATTACTGTTAGTTCTTTATTTTAATGTAGATTTACCCACAGAACAATATAGGTGAAAGCTGTAGCTGTGATTTCTTTTACTCCCAGTTCAGCAATAGGAAGTAACATAAGATATTGTAACATTTTGTACATAATCCCATTCAATTATTTCACATGAAAAAATAAATAAAATGTAGAAATAAATAATCTGTAGTAAAAATAAATGTTTTGCGTATCAATAAATAGAATGACTTCAATTTTTTTTTAATGCAGCAGTTATTTTCTAGAGGATGAGTTTTTTAGCAACGAGGAGTGTGTTCTTCAGTAGCATTGCAACAGTCATGGGCCCTACTCCTCCTGGTACTGGAGTGATAAAGCCAGCTTTCTTCTTCACCTCTGACAAAAAAAAAAGAAGAGAATGATTTTCTGTAAAATTAGTTACAAACTATAGTTTTTTGTTAAACAGCCCGAGATTGGTAAATTGTACACAAATATATAGTATCATCAGCCAGGAAAGTTAGGGAAGCTCAGAATCACAAGTATTTTTATTCAATTGCATTTCTGGAGACTGTTAGAGAAAAGCAAAATTAAATTTCCTGCCCAGCACTTTCTTGAAGCTTCCCCTCTCATAGGTTAGTGACTTACTACTGGATACCCCCTCATATTCCAGCAAAAATAACTCTCTTCGGGCATGGACATATGTTCTGTTTGAAGTGCTACAAACAGTGATGGATCAGATATGGCGCCCACCAAATTACTTCAAAACTGGCTAAACTGCAGAAAAAATGAGCTTCAGGAAAGAGGAACATTTCTGGAGCACTTCATTTTGAAGCGTTTCATGCAATGTGGGCACTCTCCAGCAGAGTGTGATAGGGGGTTTCTTAGTCCTTCAGTATCCCACAGTGATCCAACTCCTTACCCCACTTGGAGAGTGGGGCAAGAAGTTAACGAGCACTCTCTTGTCCTCAAGCTCCTTCAGGGACTGGAAACTGAGCAAAGAGCTGGGATTCCTGCTCTACCATTACATGCTTTTGGAGCCATTCTGAAGTACTCTGATATGTTTGTGTGGTGGTAGGGATGGGAGGGTTATATGAGGCTAAACACCTGTATGGCACTGAAGTGCTCCAAGTTTCAAGCAGTACAAATTGGAGTGGAGTTTGGAACACTTCAAATGAATATCTATCCGTACCCCAGCTTTTTCACATGCATGAAAGAAAAGGATAATTTGAAACTTCCTCCTACATCAGGAAGAACATCTGCTCATGCCTTGTATATAGGTAGGCTTGGCAGACTTCAATTTTCATTTTTTTTATAATTTCAGCAGCTAAAATCAATGCTTATTTTTAAGCATTTTCTTGATTTTTATCGATTTAAACTTTCAGGGTTGCGCAAAATTAGGGTGTGGGGGCAGACAAGTTAGTAATGACAGCATACTGTTAAATGCTTTATAAAATCACATCAAAATATATAAAAGTAAACTTCCATAAATCAATAAAGCATACCTGCTTTAAATCATTCTGTTCATCATCAGGAAAGAGCCAGGCAGGCAGGGACCAGAAGAGGAGGGCAGTGGCACTCCAGAACTCTGGGAACACATGGAGAGGAGGTGGTTGCCCAGCATGGGGCAGGAAGCAGCTCCCCACAGCTTCAGGCCCTGCCTGGTGCGAACCAGCGGAGGAGCAGCCTACCCCCTGATCATGGCCTCTTGCCCCTCTGGGCATCATGGGACCCTGGGGGCACCCCCGCACACCCTGCTCCAAGCACACAGGCTGGACAGAAGCTCTGGGAATGCTGGGAGAAGCAGTATAATCGCGGCAGGGCACATGGGGGTGCTCCTCGGGCTCAGATGCTGCTTCCATGCTGCCCAGAGGGGTGGGAGGCTGTAGCCGTCAAGTGACTGGTCCACCCCTCTACTGGTGCCTGCCAGGCAGGGCTCACCCACAAAGGGACCACGGGGAATGGAGAGTTGCTTCCTGGCCCCAGGCTGGGTGGCTGTTGCCTCTCCCAGTGCTTCCAGAGCTCCTGCCTGGCCTGGCCTGGCCTGGCCCAGCCACTGCATGATCAGGGCAGGGTCCAAACTCCTGGACCCAAATTATGAGCCCCAATTATGCAGGGGCCAGCCCAGGCTTGCTGGGAGTTTGGCACCTTACCTCTGGCTGGGACCTAGGCAGAGCAAGCGACTGGTGACACAGGGCTCCCAGCTGCCAATAGTGCTGTCCCTCCAACCTCCCCTCTGAGCACAGCCCCCAGATCCTGCAGCAGCTGCTCCCCAGAGAAGCATGCAGGCGGCTCAACGTGGGCTCCCCCCACTCCACCTGCAATGGCCGCCGTGTGTGTGTGCGTGTACGTGCGCAAACATGCTTGCATGCTGTCCCAGATTTTTTTTAACATCTCCTTTCTAGAACTTTCAGTGATTACCAATGGAAATATTTTTCTGTCGGTCTGTGAGTGATGGGTCAAATCTATATTTATCAATGTTTATCAATAATAATCAAATCCTGCCAAGCCCATACACAGGGACTGTCACTGGATGCATCTACACAAGAGTTTACTGCAGAGAAGACTAATTAGCTCTTCAGTAAATCTTGGCTTCTACATGTGTAGGGCTATTAGGCTGGAGTAACTAGTAAACTCTGCAGCAGGATGGTACTTATAACTACAAATACTATCCTGCTGCAGAAGTTTTAACTCCAAAGCAGCGCACATGTAAATGCCGACCCAGCTAGCTGGGGCACGAGGGTGTTTCAGTACAGGGGATGCCTACCAGCCAGCCCCACAGTGAGCTACCCTCCTGCCCCAGCAAACCCCTCCACAGCACATTGAGCCAGGTCAGAGCAGTCCCAGGCTGGCAGGCTGACCCTCCCATGTCCCTTGCCAGCAAGAGCTGTTCTGACCCAGCTCGATGTTCTGCAATCCCAGCCACACACGTAAACGTGATGCTGGGAGCAATAAACTCTGGTATGGTAAGCACTGGAGTTTATTACAACACATTAATATGCATGTGTGGATGCCCACTGAGAGGCACCCATCCTTGCAGTACCACCAACAGTTTCTCTCATGTAAGGGCCCCATCCTCCTCTGTGTCTATGTAGAGTGCCTATAAAGACTTAAGTCAAAGAAAATGCTACAAGTACATTAACAATCCAATAAAAAAATTGACAGGATAAACAAGGTTGGGGTGTGCCTAGATTACTCAGGGAGGAATACTAACAACAAACATCCATGGCATTAAAACAAAATCCTTTAAAGGAGTCTAATGACATGGAAAACATGGTAAGCATCACATGTTAAACTTTTACACTATGAGATAGGATTTCTTGAGACAATGTGCTACTCATTTATCATTTTTTCATAAAATATAACTGGAACTTCAGGTTAGCCATTTACAATGGAATTGTGTTTAACTGACTTAAAGCCCATCAAGTGAAAGAATGGGATCAATAAATTATCTGCTTTTGTGGTTATTTTGCCTGGCAAGTCTCTTGCTGCACTTCATTGATCAGATTAGGACAGGGTGCTTGGGATTTTTTTTCAATTGTATTCTTCGCTAAGCCCATGTCTCCTTAAGAGCTGATATTGCTAACTCAAGAATAATTTCCAGAAAAATCAAACCATGCTTGCTTCTACCAAATACATGAAAGGGAGAAAGTCAACTGAAATTGTGTCACTGAACTGGACTCCATGCAATGTCTGAACTTTACATATGTTGGGGGTAGGGGACAGGACAAAGAAAAGCACTGCTTTTTACAGAACCAAACTCAAGCCAGGTGCAAGTGAGGATATCTCTACTTGAATCAATAATAGACCATTACATAAGATTCCTAGATATTGAAGGCTACAAGATGAGGCAATCAAAATGTGGGGAAAATAAAAATCACTTAACAATGTTTCAGATACATTTCTTTTAAATGTCCATGGTGACCCATTGGCAAGTAAGACAAATGATCTTAGAAAAAAAACTTATCAAGAGAAAAAATGAAAAGCTAAATATTAATTAATATGCTATTTAAAAAAATGCTTTTGATCAAATGAAAGTTTTCTCTGCATACTGTTTCTGCAACTCACAGGGAGTGCCTGATTCTGCATCCACTAAAGTAAAAAACAAAGTTCCCATTAAGTTCAATCGTGAAGGAACAACTAAGGAAAAATATATCAGTGGTAATGAAAACCAAAATAACTTCAAATTACTCAACATACGAATGTCACCAGTCATGTTATTAAAAGACCATAGAAAGATAAACTTGATTTAATTTAACAATCATTTTAGACATTAGAATGATAATATTTAGGTTTAGAATTAGACCATCTTAGAAACACAAATTATCTGGTGGCTTTTTAATAGTATTATAATTTGATTAATTTACAGAATTTGGTATGTATTATTTTATTTTCCCAGATAAATATCATAATTATTTAAAGGAACTGTGCCCATGCCTGATATTAGCACATATCAGGACTGTTATACTATTTTAGAAGTAACATAATATACATTAAAATAAAACACTATTTTAATAGAAACAAATTTGTTTCAAATCAGTAATATTTTAGAATTATTAAGTACATTCTTTGTCATATATTAATGACAAAGAGGTACAATCCACAACCTGAGGAAGTTCTTGAAGAAAAGTCTAGCAATGTAAATCATGCAGAACATTCGTTATTGTACCAAATCTTTATGGAAATCTGCCTCAAAGTAGGACACAGGCTTCTTTTTATATTGGTTTACATATAATCATCAACATATAGTTTATTTGGAAAAGGTAGTCCAAAGACCAGGTGCCTAAGTGCGCAGATAATATCCTGTAAACATAAGTGTGCATTTGCAAAATGGTAATTTGAGCCTGGTAAGTCTCTAGTCAGAGAAATAAAAATAAGCATGATGAATGCATATTTTTTTCAGACAAACTTAGATAGTAGATTTATACATTTGGCTCTTAAAATTCTAAATACATTTGTATAGCATAAGAGTCCAACATACAGTTTGAGATAACATTTATATATGACAAACCTTACAGTAGTGAACAAGGTATAGCACTGTCAATTACTTTAGGTTATTTCATTTCCACTTTTAGATTGTGTAGAAGCTTTCTCCTCTGAATGTCACTCTCCAAAGATTGCTGAAATACTGTCCTAAGCATTCAACAGCCTGGAAAACATAGCCTTCAAACCGAGTGTCTAAGTGGGGTTAGTTATTATTTTGCAGCTTCTTCAAAGCCTTAAAGAACTTTCTTTGATTCTTCACAAGAAATGAAATGCAGGTAATTTCCCTGACAAACAGCATACTCTGGTTTGGAAGTACTCTTTATTTCTAGGTTTCTCTACAAGTTAAACACTTCAGATGCTCAATAGGGGCAATCCCTCATATTAAGGACATGTTTAAACTTGCAAGTTGTTGT